AAGTAGATTCAGGTAATATGTGAATAATACTTTAAATACATTAATACTTATCTTTTAAACATATTGTTGCCCATCTTCTTATACTTTGAGCTCGATACAAACCTTTTCCATGTATTAAAGCAATAGTTTTACTCGATTCTCTCTTTTTTTTCTACTTTATAACAGGTGCAGATATCCAACAACTGATTGATACCAAACTAACTCAACTTTTTGGGGTTTTTCATTTTTTATCAAATTTCCAATTCTTTCAATTATAGTTTTTATGTTTTCATTATTTTGGAATTTATTAATCTCCGCATCTTGACATTACTTATTATCTAAATTACTCTCTTCTAATTCTAGGATTTGGGAGTATTCATTATTTAAACTACTTTCCTTACTACTTTTATCTTTCTGATCCGAATTATTATACATGTCAAAAAAGTCAGTTATATGAGCAGATCTTACAACAATCTTCTTGCTTTAAGATGTTTTCATTAGTAAGTTCTTACAAAATTTTCTACATAAACAAGGGGCTTTTTTGGTTTTTTCTTTTGTTTAAATTTATTTAATTTATTAATAATATCCTTTACTTCTTCTTCATCCATTACTGTATTTTCTTCAAACATCTCATTACTGCTAATATTGCTATTATTTTCACTACTATATTCATCATCATCATAGTTAATATATACTGATTTCTGAGTATTTAATGCATTGCTTTGCATTTGAACTATTCGTTTTTTTTCTGACCTATTTAGAAAAAAGAATGCTTTAAAGCTTTATTGACTTGAATGACTTACAAAATTTATTCAGGTAGAGTAATAAGATTTTATCGATTTATTGTAATTCAATATTTTATTGATTTAAAAAATTTTCCTTTTTATAATTTAAATATATTCAAATTTAATATTTTCAATTATTAATTCTTAACTTTAGTTTTGGGCTTTGCAATAGGAGTATTATTCAATCTATTTCTTTTTTTATTTGAACATTTGATTTTTCTTCTTATTAATCTCCTTGTTTTT